TGATCTATGGATGAAATAAGATTTATGCTGATGTGTAAATTTTCTCAATTTTCAAAGAAGGTAAAAAAAGAAACATGAAATTAATTGATATCCTTGAAATCCTGAATGTGGTCACTTTTTTAAACTTTTTTCTCTTTCTCTCTTTCTCTGAAGACTTTTCTCTAACTCTTTGATAATCCATTTTCCCTCCTCCAGATTCCTCAAAACACTTTTGTACTATTTATATAGTTTCAATTGTTATAAAAGATGATAAATTACCTGAGCATGTCATTCCATCGCCATTGTAGCCAGATTTACAAGTACAAGTGTACGAACCATCAGTATTGATACATTGTGCATTCACATCACACATGTGGTAATCAGCAGAACATTCATCAATATCTGAAACAGAAAACAAGACATTACATAACATTGAAAGACTTTTGATCAGTTCTGTACTGTGAATATATGGTGTTACCGTGAAACTACTCCGAGGACTTATAAAATGACAATGTTCTAATGTACCACAATCTAAGAAACAAATTAAATGTACCTCGTTTGCACGTGTAGGCATGGCAAGACCCACATGTTACGTCATTCCAATGATAGTCATGACGTAATCCAAGGGTATGAACGCAATCCTGGTCTCCAGGGTAACCGTTTGGTTGGCTTGGCGCCCAGTACGTAAAGTTAACATTGGTACCGTCAATCCAGGTAAAGTTTCCTTCACTGTCAATGTCTTGTAGWCCTATCCATCCTGTATCACCGYCGTGACGATGTTGAATGTACGTGTTTTCTTCYTGGCTGGTKACACTGGTCAGATTGGAGTTGACATCAAGACAGTTGGACTGAGCTGCATTCCAAGARRCACAGGAAGAKGTGGTCTTGTAGCAGAAGCCATTGAAGTAGTTCCAGTCTTTTCCACACATATCTAAAACGAAGAACAATTGTAGTAGTCTAGRTKTGAGTGCATCTTGAAAGCATTCACCTTGCCAATGCATGGAATGTTTTCACRAAACAATAAACGTTGCCAAAATAATACTTCTCGTCTCAATKAGTTAAATGAGTAGTTCTTATTGAGCAAAATGAAATACCTGATACAACCACGTACTGCAGGGTGACAGGATCATAACGGTCCGAGTACAGCTCTTTAAGACAAACACGGAATGCTTCCATCGTAATATTCTGTATAAGAACAAAAACGATCTGGTATTGAAACGATGTGTTTATATAAACAAAGTATTGTGCTTTAGAACATTTCTATGAGTAATCTAATTTAATCTCATCGATCGCAAGTAGATAAGCCGGGCAATGGTGGTCATGTCAAAGAATTGCCCCACAAAAGTTGTCCTTCTTTTAGCGGCCATATATGGTAATCTAACCTTATTTGGAAGTACGATAGGAATGGTTTTTTTCGATTTTCTCAACTTTTAAAGCTTGAAATCGTCTGAAACTTGCAGATTTTATAGCGAAAACACTTCTCAACAATCGGCCATTTTGTTTGTTTCCATATATGGCATGGGCTCGCTAAAGGAAGCCCAAAACTAAAAATCACAGGGAACCCGCACGAATGACATACAATTCTTTGATATGTAGTTTATTAAGTGCTATTAAGCTATTTTAAGCGGTCAGAGACAGTGTTTGACAAATTGTATGAATGATAGAAGAGATGACTATGATATCTACAGTGTAAACGTCAAATAATGACAACAGATTGAAACCAACCTCAATCCAAGCTGAAATCCCGTTGCATGTAGGGTTAGTAAGGCCAACACTTGTATCATGGGTTGCTGTTATCAATACTGAAGGTCGTCTTGTGTAGTTTCTTGCAAAGTTCACATCCTGTGTAAGACAAAAATTGACAAATATCAG